GTCTCACAAGGAATGCCACTTCTTCTTAACTCAAGGTCATGAAAGAAACATCTTGGGAAACAACAATTTACCAAAAGTCGGAATCGAAGTTTCACAAAAACAATTCACAACACTCACCAACAAGAGAACTTGTAATTCTATCAATTCAGTTACCTCACTTGACAGAGATAATGAAATAGAAATGATTTCCAAAACCTTCAAACAATTATTCCTTCGGATTGGAAAGATAAAAAATCAAACAAAAATAACACACTTTCACGAACCACTAAAGCCAATTCAACTAAAAGGCAGGAGGGTCCCTTTACACTTACTGGATTCAGTAAAATCAGAATTATACAGACTTAAATCCGAAGGACACATCAGAAAATTAGAAAACTGTGACGAGGACAGATTTATTAGTCCGATAGTTATCACTTGTAAAAAGACAAATCGTTAAAGCTAGCTCTAGATTCAAAATTTATCAACAAACAAATGTACAAGAACAAATATCAGATGCCCAATATACATGAATTAGTGGATAACGTAGCGGCTCAAATTTCAAACAATTCCGCCGGAGAAGTATGGTCTACAAATCTAGACTTAAAGAACGCATATAGTCAACTCTCGCTAGACAATTTTACAAGCAGCCAATGCAATTTTAGCCTAGTTGGCGGAGATATAACAGGCACTTATCAATTTTTAACCGGTTTTATTGGACTCGACGATATGCCAAACGAGTTTCAAAGAGTCATGGACTCAACTCTGGGAAATATTCCTTTTACAAATTGTTACCTTGACGACTTATTAGTCGCTTCCAAAGGAAGTTTTAACGATCACAAGAAAATTGTTTATAAAATTTTATCAACGCTAGATAGTTACAATTTCGCAGTTAAATGGTCGAAATGCAAATTCTTTTAAAAAGAAATCGAATGGCTCGGCTTTAAAATATCGAAAACCGGAATCGCCCCACTATTCGATAAAACCAAGGCAATTAAAGATATTCCAATTCCAAAGAATCTAAAAGAATTAAGATCATTCTTCGGGTCAACTAATCAGTACAATAAATTTGTACCAAATTTAGCATCCCTCGGAAGCCCGCCTAGACCTCTTCTAAACAAGAAGTCAATTTTCCTTTGGAATGAAGATCACTCAAAAGCATTCGATAAGATTAAATCAGAAATAGTAAATCTTACTGAAAACACACACTTCGACGTAAAAAAGTCCACGAGAGTAAAAACCGATGCTTCACATAATGGGTTAGGTGCATCCCTTGAACAACTCCATGAAAACGTTTGGAAAACAGTGTCATTTGCTTCAAGATTTTTAAATCCTCATGAATCCAAATATTCAACAAACGAATTAGAGTTATTAGGAGTTGTATGGGCGGTGGAACAATACAAAAATTTTCTCTACGGCTCCGAATTCGAAATTATTACCGACCACAAAGCTCTCCTTTCCGCTTTGTCACCTAATCACGGAAACAAAACGTACCATAGCGGATTGACAAGATGGGTAGATCGTCCTCTACCATTCAATTTTACTATCAAGCATTTAGCGGGAAAAGATATGGGTTTTACCGATCTAAATTCAAGAACTCCTTCGGGTAAAGCAATTCCCCCATCACATTACGACGAAGAACTCGTAGTTGCAACTACCAAAAAAATATATAATGCACTCAATCCTTTGGATAATGAAAATCCATTACGTAATTCAATTAATTCAGTTTCGGAAAATTCCTAGTACACGAAATTACGAAATCACGTAATAATTACAGCATTGAATTTCGTCAATTCTTCCATCTCAATCTGCAATCAAAAACACTATACAACAGAACTTTGTAACTCTAAATGTATTCCCTCGGATTTCTTAAGCACAGATTCTACTAAAATCATTCTATCAAATTCAGCCTTTATTTATTTTTTTAATTATTAACAGTAGCTTAATTAGTAATCCTTCGGATTTCAAACTTATAAATAGTGTAAATATGTCAAATAACCAAATTGTAGTAAATCCTTCCACTTCCGGGATACAGGTCTCTATTGATTTCCAAATTTCCTCTGAGCACAAAAGGTTAGTAACTAAATTTCGAGAAAACCTCAAGTTACCTGAAAGACCTTTGGATTTAAATACTTAATTCAATGCAAAGTTGGTTGCTTTATTAACGGAAGATGATGAGATGTTAAACCCAATTGTGAAGGCTTTACAGAAAAAAGTAGAAAACATCAACGCAAATTCCCGTTAATTACACCAATTTTCGAAAGACCTTCATGAATCCGACGGACTATTATATATGGATGGAAAATTGGTTATTCCGCTTACACTTAGAAACGCCGTTTTAAAAACTTTACATGAATCTCACCCCTGGCCAATTCGGTATGAAATACCTGGCCACATATAAACCGGCAAAATTACTTCCACGGGATTAATTGCACACAATGCACCCAAACCGGTAAGAATATAAAAAGCATCATACCAACTACACAAATTAGCGAACTTCCCACTTTATTTGAACCTAATGAGGAATTAAACCTTGATTTTGCCGGTCCATTAGATAACAACTGGGGAAACAATAAAAACATCTTATTATGTATAGATCGTTTTTCAAAATTCCCATCAGCAAAAATTACTTCTTCAACGTCATCAAAAACGGTAATCGAATTCCTTCAAGATTATTTTTATCTCCATGGGATTCCTAACTCTATTCGTGTTGACCACGCATCCTGTTTTACTAGTCAGGATTTTAAATTATTTTGCAATTCTCTTAACATCAAATTAATATTTTGTACAGTTGGGGACCATCGTTCTAACTGTCTTGTAGAAAAACTTGTTCATACTGTAAAAATCAAATTATTAGCAATGTCTTTAGAACAACAAAAACCTACATTACAAACTGTCATTTCGAAAATCATTTGGAATTTACGATCTTCCTTTCAATCAAAAATAAAATGCTCACCGTTCGAAATACACTTTAATAGAAAACCGAACACAATCTGGAAGCAATTGGCTTCTAGTAAATTATCCGGTGGATTTTTAGACAAAGGGAAGTCGATCTTAAGCAGAGAAAGGGCCCTTGACTCGAATGCAGACGATCGGATAGAGGACGGATACAAAGACTCTCTTGAACCGAAAAAGAACCAGTCACCATTGGAGAAAGGCTACGACTCAGACCTTCCTACAACCTCAAAACCTTCATCTTCCCGAGTGGCCTTAAACAGTCCGTTTAAAGGTAATTTACTACGAAAAACCAACGGAAGTATAAACGGAAATCCCTTCTATAAACAACTAGGTCAGAAAATAATAAACTCAACAAAATCCACGGTTGAACTATCCGACGGAAAAATCATTAGAAAATCGGACATCGCCATCCCAAAGTCTAAATCATCTACAATTCGTTCATTCAAAGGAAATATCTCATTTCCCTCTTTTTCTAACAATGATTTACAAGTAGGTCCAAGAAAGACAAACAAAGCGAAGACACAACAGACGCGGAAACCAGACAATAAGACAGGACGACACACAGAGTCTTTCACCCCGGTCCCCACCAGATCTAGAGGAACGAAACAGCCCACTAAATTCAACAAATCGAAGCGAAACCGAAATAAAGCCTCGACTTCGAACACAGGATACTTAGCAGGTGACGAATCCATGTTCATTCCGTCGGATACGTCGGACATTAGTGATTGGGAATGGATTGCGGGAGGTTTTCCATGCAGAGAAATGATACGAAAACGCTTCATTTCAGATAACCTCATTTTTAACGAAAAACCTTCCCCATCATTAGCTCCTCAAACATATCAAACTAATATAAAATCTGAGATTTTAGACGAACAATTTAAATCTACAGATACAGCGGAATGTCCAATTAGTATAAAGCCACCACCTCAAACGACCTCACACCCACCTGGCGAATCTTCTACCGCTACGACAACAGATGGCCCAAACACTCCTTCGGATTCAACAAAAGCATTGGAAGGAGAAAATCCAGTGGAATTTCCAGTCTTTGAGATAGAGGACTCCTCTAACGAAAGTGCAACTAGTGAGGAAAAACATCCTAAGGAAATCACTATCACCGGTAACGAATTTAAATTAAGACGTTCAAGTCGAAATGTTGGTCCCCCACAATTCTATGGCAAGCGATATTACATAGATGTTACAGACGAGTTCCAAAACCAACCAGGCTCCGCGAATAACCCTATATCTCTGGACGAGGGCGACAGCTCGGGCTCCCCCACACTAACCTTCAGAGAGAATCCCTCGGAGAACCAGACCCACATTTGCGACACTCTACCGGAGGACCGTGCACCGGGCCCAGCGTACCCTTCATCTCCCGATCAATTCTCCATCGCCTCTACTGACGAATCCCTGAGAGATGCGGTGAATAGTTTCGACAACTACATCGACTTAGACAGTGAAATTTTTAACGCTGAGCTAGAAAAATTCGTGGAAGGGGACAGCTAAACTAAATCAAAAACTTGAAAACTCGCATTTAGTCATTATATCGTACTAGTATTTCGTTTCAGCGCAGTTAGAGTTTACCTTCTTATAACTAGGGATTATAATCCGCCGGAATTAGAAATTATATCATTCTTTCTAATTTAGTCATTCCTTCGGAGCACTAAAATTTCATTTGTGATATTGCGCAGTATTTAATTTTCAATCCTTGTTGGACTTCTCGAGAGGGAGAAAAAGGGTTAGATAACATGTTATGTATCATGGCGCTTAGTACTGTAATTTTTTTCCCACTAAGGGGAATGTTGCGAATCTTACTATTCGTCTTATTTCATTTAATTAGTTTTAAAGTTTCTTAACTGGTTAATTTAGATATGACCTTGTTATCTTCATTCTCTCCGACGGAGAGAATGACCGCTCACTTTTTAATGTTTTAATTTAGAGATTAATTCACTTTTTAAACATATCTTATTTGTAACTAAGTAGAATTATCCGCAACAAAGAAACATTTTATCAGGGTGTTTGCACGGTACCCGTCAAAAAATCCCTTAATTTTTATGTTTTAACGACAGGTATGGTCGAAATACCCTCCCTTGATGAAATGGAAAAAGACATAAAAGAAGCCGAAGAAGATGAAGCCAAAATAGACTCTCTTTTCGGAGTTGTCGACTTCCAGACCCAATACGTGCAGAAGTTGGGCGACCTGCTGGGCAAGCCGAACATGGGTAGAAACCACATAATGTGGGAGACGATAAGAGTGCGTGATTTTGATATTACCAAATATAAGGAGACCACCTCAATCGGAGCTTTAGTGGGGCGACTTTAAATGCAAATTTTATACAATCAGGACTGTTTCTAACCCATTAACCCCTTATTTGAAAATTAAAATTTGATAATAGTCTTATGTACAATGTTGGCTAAATGCTTGATAAAAAGATCAAAAGTATAATGATTAAGTATGTTCACAAGTATGTAACTTTCTTACATTATGACAAGAAGGTATTAGTTTTTCAGAAAAAAAATTAAGAAATTAGGAGGGTACAATCAAACCCAAAATCATAAGTTAAGAACATTGAAAAACAGTGGTAGAGTAAATTTCTTTTAAGATCTAAAAAATAAGTTTTTTGATTCTTGCATTTTTTTACTCTCAATGAATGAATATCATCTTTTTGAACAAAAATGAGAAACATATACAAAATTCAAGGTAAACATATACTTACAAGATTGCAAAAAAAACTCTAGCTGAAACCAAGAAAATTATGATTCGTGGACGCATCTATTGGAAACCCATACTTAAATACAGCCCGCTAGCTGAGACAGCCTTAGCGGTTTTTAGGTTTCATTGTATTTATCTCAGAATTTTTGAAACGTGGATATTGGTTTATCAAAACTTTTAGGTCTATATATAAATGAGAAGTAGAGACAATTTTGAATTTGAATCACACATCATAACTATGCAAATCTGCGAAAACGTCAAAACTAGAAAAAACTTTATGAAAAAATTTTTTAAAAAAAAGTAGAAATGAACTCAAGTACAAATGAACTTAAAATGATCCTGTAGACATCAAACTAGCAATCCCTGCACAAAGAAAACATAAGTTGCGCTAATCTTGCTCTATCTTAAAAGATAACTATTCGCTATCGACTAAGAATTTTTTAATGTGCTATTTGAAACATAGTTTCCAAATTTAAGAAATTGATTGTCTTAGTAGCTCAGCAACTGCGACATCCAGGAGCTGATTTATTGGAGGCAGCTTTCCCCTCTCGGTGATTTGACCCCCTGACTCGACCCAAAATGTCTTCCTTTTGTTATTTTTGAGACATCCATTTTTAACTATCGGCCCCAAAGTTTTTTAAATAGGGGCTTTCATCGCCAATATATACTACTTTTGAGTGGGTAAATCAAACCAACAAATGCTTACACCAAAAAATGTTTAAAATAGAAAAAAAAGATTTGGCGATTTTTTTTGCTTGCAAAAGCGTCATACAGCATGTATGTTTTTTTTATTGAGCGGTTAGCTAGACCAACATTTTTGCTGATAAACTTCAGGAAAAAGTTAGGAATGCTCTCCAATAAAAGTTTTTGTTTTTTAAACTGCAGTAAAAGTTATAGCAGCGTGAACAAGAGAAAAGAAATGAAAAAAAAACGTTTTTAATTTACTGTTTAATTGTTTTATAACTTTCTGTAAGACTATGTTCCTAAAAATTGTTCTAATTTTGTTTAAAAAGCTTTTGATAACAATTTTAAAATTACGTCTAAAACTTGGGAAAATCTTTGAAAGTAAATCGTCCATCTTCTTCGCGCTTCTTCGAAAAACTTTCAAAAATGTTGTGCTATCTTTGTTTTTTTTGTAAATTTTTTTGATAGATTCCTTGAATCTGTGGCAAGAAATTGCCAAGACATCCACGATTCTCATCAAGATGTATACTAAATTTCTTTTTAAGATTCCACAAACATATCTTAGCTTCGTAAAATTGAAGTAAGTCATGCACGGTAGCTGACCGGGTCGATCAGAAAGACGTATTGTACAAATTTTATTGCTGGACAAATACTTATACAATTTCATACAAGTCCACAGATACAGAAAAACCTATAAAACATCTATGACAAGCACTTCATCAAAAGTAAAATTTTTCCTTACCATCGTTTTTCCATAAAAAGAAATTTCATATTTTTCGTGAAACTTTCGCGTGTTGTCCAAAAACAGTAACCGATAAAAAATGATTCTATTTTGAATAAAAATTGGTGGTTGAACATATTTAGGTTTTATCTTAGCAAGTAAGAACAAAATGTGAGTTCTGAATGCGCATAAGATAGTTATTGTTTTTGTGGCTGTTATGTGTAGAAATTGAGTCTAGAGTACGTTATAGAAAAAAATTGACAATTCTCTGCAATTTTTTCCAAAGTTTTTACTGAGCATAGAATTGATTTTGCGACCAAAAAATGGAGAAACTTTTCTTCTAGCTTTTCAATTTTGCTCGACAATTTTTTAGAATAATGAAAACAGTGATTGTTATTGGGTTGATTTAAAACTTTGATTAGGCAGCGCAAGGCAGCGTGAACTAGGGAATCCACTTGAATAAACATTTCTAAATTAGTATTCAATTGTTATATAGTTTTCTGTAAAACTATGTTCCCAAAAATTTTTCTAAAAATTCATGAAAATATTCAATAACAGTTAAAGGAGTTGGTCGGAATCTTGCAAAAACCGAAACTAAAAAACTGAAAAAAATGAATTTTTTGATGCGATATAGGGGCGGATTTAGGGATTCTTTCTTGATATTCATTTTCGGCAACCAAAACCAACCCTAAAATTTGTCGTAGTCACCTTTGGCGCAAATAAATACTAATTTTGAAGGCGAGCGCGCGCCGAAAAAACGCATTTTGACAATCATATGGGGTCGCATCAGACCCCTTAACCCACTCTCCCCCTCAGGGCGCTACTGCTAGATATGCTAGTCAAAAATATATTATGTCTTGACTTATGTTTCGACGACTTTCTCGAACAAAAATTAGGCTTGTTTCGACTGTGTTCGACCCCTGTTTCAAATTTCTCGATCAAAATTGCATATAATTTGATTTTGAGCTCGAATATAAATTGCCTCTCAATTTTCAGTCGCAAAACTACCTTAACTCAAATTTATAAATAGAAACACCCAGGCGCGGATCTAGGATTTTCTCGAGGGGCGGGGGAGCGGATTTTCAAAAAAAAAGTTGAACATTTTGCCGACCTTTTTTTTTAGGTCGATCAAATTAGTTTTCTGAGCTCTCCCAAATCACTATGAAGACCCCATTTTGACCAAATTTTCAGAACCGCAGGCAATTTTTTTCAAAAAACAGGCCAATAAAGGCGTTTTTAGGTCTCTTTTGGAAAATTTTGACCAAAAAAAAACGCGCTTTTTTGGCGCGCGCTCCCCCCTCAAAACTAGTAAATATTGGTGCCGAAGGCGCTTTTAGAAAAAAATTTTAGGGTCAATCAGCCAAAAATGGATATCTGTTGCAATGCAAATGTAGAGTATAGATGCATATAAAACAAGCACAGTTGGCAGAGCGGCCTAGAGACAAATCTCTCACGCCGGTCAACCGGTTTCGAGTCCCCACATATGCAGACCTTAAAACATGTATACCCGAGGGGCTATATCCCCATTTGACCGTTTTTTACTGTTTTTTTGGTTCTAATTCGGTTCAGCCTTGATTAAGACTGACCGCCAAAAAGAGCAATTTGTCTCAAGGACATTACCGACCGGTTCTTGTGGCTAGCTTGCGCCGATTTGTACCAAAAACAGGCAGATGATGAAAAATGTTATATGATGTTCTGATCAATAGAAAAATGCCGAAATAATTTATTGGCCGAGTTATTTACCGAGAAAAAGCTTTTATTAATTTAACGAATTTGGATCAGTTTTGGAGATTAGAGCGAGCACATTTTGGCGCCCCACAAGGGACTTGACGAAGACGCGAAGATGGTCGACACGAGCTTCGCCGAGGAACACAAGGGACGTTGGCAGTCAGCCAATATAGTTTGCAGTTGTTTTATTTGGCATTACGAGTTGGCACTCAGCCAATAGAGTTTGCAGTTGGCAGTAAGTGTTGGCACTCAGCCAATAGAGTTTACCGTTGGCAGTAAGAGTTGGCAGTCAGTCAATAGGGTTAGCAATCGGCAGTCAGCCAAAAGAGTTTGCAGTTGGCAGCCAGCCAATAGAATTGGCACTTGGCAGAGTTGTTTCTCGGACAGTTTCCCCGACTCGAATACCCATTTGGCCGAGTGTACATGGCCAAAACTTGAAGTGTACAGTTAGACGAGGAGCCTGTAAGCCGACAGGCGAGAGAGCAGACTGGTGGAAGAGAGGGCTGTTCAGGTGTCCTGATTGTTGACTTTTGGACTTTTGAGCTGTGTTTTTTTCTCGATACCCGAAGTTTTGGATTTTTTCCTGGTGTCGCCAATCTTCAATTAAAAACTGTAAGACGTTTCCAAAACTTTTAAAACTCTCCATTCGTGCTTTAAATTTATATACGATGTCATATATGCTAGAAGTTTTCCCGCAAGCTAGCCCCCGGTAATTTTTCTCAATACCCAAAATTTTTGGACAGTTCCGTTGAACTCAAATATCTTACAATCGGTACTTAGACAATTTACTTGACATTTTTTCTCGATACCAAAATTTTTTGGATATATGTGAACGGAAAATTAATCCGTGAAATCGAAACATAGACAAGAGGTACTGGACTAGTTTTTTGGATTGGTTTATGACTCGAACCTACTGACCAAAATTTTCCGAAAAAATTTTATGAAAAAAGAAAAAAAATTGCCAAAAAACCCTCAAAACGTCCCCAGAATTCTGCAAAACTGTGCTGTAACATGACACCAACCTTATGGTAAGTGGTTTGGTAGCAAAATATCAGGCAAATTAAGTCGAGTTTTTTCATCCTTAGGTTTTTTCCGCGTGTGTTGTTGGAACTTAACCAATTTGCCTGATCCCCCACCCACCATTGGTGAAACTGAAAGCCAGTTCTCTTCAAATAAAACAAAGCCGTTTCAGCCCGTCCGATTATTGACTTCGTTGCGTGACAGTAAAGTTAAGTGGTCAAGTACGGTGATATTAAGTGAGTTAAGTTGAATTCTTTCATCCTCAGGTTTACTCAGTGTGTGTGTTTTCCAACCCCATTGGTACTTAAGCGCAACGAAGCTGAGGCATAGGTCCCCTAAGTTCCTTGGATCACGCGCTTCGAAAACTTTCCGCTCCGTCCCAGAAGCGCGTCAAAATACTTGCTTTACGAAGCCAGGATTAAGTTTGAACTTTAACGCTAGGGACTCTCAGAAAACAATACAGTACTACCTTCATCACTACTGGTCGCACCGTAGCGACCTCGTAATTTGGCACGACGCCATTAATAACTCGATAAGTAGG